TCTTCAGACCAGACTGGAGCTGGCCTCCAACTGGGCAGAGCGGGGGAGGACGGGGACTAAGGAGAGAAAGAGGAGGAGGAAGACGACGACAGGGACCGTCCCTTCGGGGATGCGCTGCAGAGACTGAGCCTGCCCAGCGATGGGGATGCTGCTGCCCGGAGACCGCGGTTTTTTCCCTAGGCTTTGGGCTGCGCTCCTCCACAGAATACGCGGAGAGAAATCCTGGGCCAGAAAACTTGACGAAACCAACTTGTTGCAACAGAAGAGGTGGGTCCAACCCAGGACACTTCAGATCCTGAAGGCAGGTCGGGGAGGGAGACGTGCCGAGAGTTACTGAGTTTAAGGTGAAAAGGGAGTTTCTAGGAGCGCGCGCAGAGAGAAGGCTGGCGAAAGGCGTCCACCAAAGGCTGTGTGCGCGCGCACAATTTTTATAGCTCCTTCCTTAGTTTGGGGAGAAAAGACTGGCCACACATGCAAGTTATACCTGGAAGGGGAAACACTTTTAAACCCTTCCCCCCACTCCCATCGGGAGCAGGGTAAATACCTGGGCAGAGGAGAAGCTGTAACCAGATCTCAGCAAGTGCAACTTGAGTGCACCTGCTGCCTGAAAGGCAGACAAGGCTGTATTCTGTGCCACAGGCAGCCAAGCACACACTTCCACCCCTTTTCCGAACACTGTGGTGGGACACAGAGGGAAGAGGGCAGTCACACGAGAGTAGAAGATAAAGTGTCTTTCTTTTTATGCTTTGTGTGTTTGTTCAGTCCCAGCTTGTCATGAAAAAAATATGTTGATGACCTCCTTTAATCACTTAAGCTTCTTAAGTGAAACTGCCACGTGTGAATTAATTGCTGCCCGGCAATGCCGCTAAGCCTGTGTGGTGTACATTTTTCAGGGTTCTAAGCAAAAGAGCTAGCAGCATTTACACATCTGATATTTGGGAGCGAAAGCTACAGGATATGGCTCAAGAAGGGTTGAAGACTGGCCCTTTGGAGAAATTGAGTCCTGCTGATTCTCTAATAAAGGACCATCTTTTCCAAATTCGTTTGTTTGTTTGTTTTTGGGGCTCATGTTGGATGAGCAAGTGGTCGCTGAGATTGGCAGGGCTTTTGCCACCTTAATCTTGAATGCCAATGGTGGCCTTTTGTGGACTGAGAGGCACTGCTTGTAGTCGTTCATGCCATAGTCAACTACCAAATGAATGACTGCAATGCACTTTACATGAGGCTGCCCTTGTAGAACATCCAGAAAGCCCAAAACATGATGGCAATTTATGGATGCACCTTGGTACATTTCATGATTCCATGGGCTGCATCTACTCCTAGTGTGTTTCCAGATGGAATTCAAGATGCTGGTTGTCACCTATAAAGCCCTTCATCTACAGAGTTATTCATGGGACAATCAATTTCCCAAAAATTTCTACTTATGGAATGATCAGATAAGAGAGGCATCCACCTCTCTTATCTGATCATTCCATACGTAGAAATGGAATGATCCATTTCTCTCTCCAGCTGCATAATGGGAGGAGAAAGAAACTCAGAAAGGAACCTTCCCTAACTTATCAAGTTGTAAAAGACACAGTGGGAGATTGGTACTATTAGGCTTGCAAGATTATATTATTGCAAGATAAAATAGAATTAGCTAATCTGGATGTTTTTCCTGTATGGTCCACCTGGAAAGGCCAACACTGAATTTGTTAAGCAGGATTGAGCCTAGTGAATATCTGGATTGGAACCCACTAGGGAATTCCATGGCTGTGGGTACGATTGGGAAATAAGGTTGTTCTGGAAGAGGGCAATGGCAAATTTAAGATTGAAAAAAAATGTAAAGATTTTCCTGTCAGTTGTTTTCCTGCTCATCTCCATTTCTCGGCCAAAGGAGACAGTGTTGTCCAAAGACCATTTCTGTGGTTATGACTATAGGTTAAAGGCGTACAGAATTCAGTTACCTTCCCACCAAAGTGGTACCTATTCATCTAATCGCAGTTGCATGCTTTTGAACAGCTAGGTGGACAAACTATCTCCATAGAATTCCACGAAATCTGCATGGATGACTTTATCTGTCTTTATCTTTCCTTTAAAAGTGCCCTCATAAGAATTCCCAATGAAGTAAAGGATTGAACATCTTTCTTCGTTGGCTTGATAGTCATTAATGAAGCTGCAGAATATGACTTTGAGATGAGACATTACACTGCTTCACTTTATTTGGGATATAGTAACACGTGAGCAGAATAATGGACTGAGGAGCATTTTTTATGCAAACCTGTTGGTGTAAATCAAAATACATATTGTGAGCTTCTTAAAGATATTGATATTTAATGTATTTAGCTTTGCGGAACAGTACTAGAATCTGCCACTGTCTCAAATGGAACCAGATTGTTTATCCTATCTGTACTGCTACTTATTTGGTCCAGACTGGGTCTGTCAAAATGATGTAGACTAATGAGATCATCTATTTGGTGATATAAGTATGCAGAGCGTTTAGTGTCTCAGAGTAAATTCAGAATCAAGTGAGATATTGGAAGAGGCAATGGTTGGCGAACATTTACTTTAATTGCCTGGTCAAAGAATGGGGCAGTCACATTTATAAATGCACCATAATCTATTTTGAGACAGCACTTTCTTTTGTACAATGTTCAGAATATGTCCTGTTAAATATAATACAAGGAATCTTGAGAATTTTGATCATTTTTGATCATTTAGCAGTGAGATTTTCATCCTTTTTTATTTTTAGTTGCCATTCTGTAAACTCCTTCCATTTCTCTGCTGTTTACAATGGATGCCAGGATCCATACTGCCATGGATTGTGTACTGTAGGGACAGATGGGGAAAGCAGATTGGTTACTTTATTGCAATTTATGATTTTTCTATTTTGTACCATGTTTAATAAGGAGCAGAGCAAGAGCTTTCTTGTCGTTTTTCCTTTTTGCATGAACCATAAGATACCAGTACTTTAACTGTGAAAACAAGTTAGGTGCTTCTAATCGTCTATTTCCATTCCATTGTATTATAGTCTGTCAAGAAGCCACATCTTCTCATTTCAGCCAAAACACTGAGTGAAATCTTCCCTGCACCACTAAGTTACATGTTCTTGCCTCTGGAAACAAAACACCTTTCATTAAATAGTCATGGGAACATCCCTCAATTATTTAACATTGATCTATGATAGTTTGTGGTGCATCCATTCATTCTGAGTGTGGTTTCAGGTAGGCCGAGAAGCAATTGCACACTTCAGTGAGAGTAATTGAAGGGATGAGGGGTGGAGAAATGACGCAGAAGAAAGACTGAAAGAGAATCTCTGTAAGGAGAGTTATGTTCCTGGTATCTTGTGGGGTATTGCAAGAGATGTGAAGAAATGAATAATAGAGTACACAGGGAAGCGACACAGCATGATTGCACAACCATTTTGATCTGTCAGATGAGCCATCACATGTGGAATAGGTCTAGTGCTCACTCTTGGGGTACTTTTCCCGCACTTGAGAACATGATGTACACTAAGGCCACTTAAACTTTTTTATTTGGTCTATGCTTTCTACTCATAACTTTTGTGTTTCTTCTTTCCGGAGATGAAGTTCCATTTGCTTGCGGATTCTTCCATTCATTGGCTCGTGGAACTGATGCAGGTGAAAAGCCATGGATGCGCCAAAGTCACTCGGTGACTTTTACCTTGGGAATTAGAACCCAGGTGATTCTCGCCCTATTCCCACTGCCATGTAGGCTGGCTTACAGACTCAGTATTTTATCCTTAGCAACCTTTTAAGATTTGGGTGCGGTTGCTCTGCTTGATTCCTAAAACCTTCTAATGCAGGGGACTCCAAACTTAGCAACTTTAAGACTTGTGGACTTCAACTCCCAGAATTCCTCANTGGTGAAATGGCTGTAGTAATGCATTTAGAAGATTCTCGGAAATGATTGCTAGGAGTTGTATAATATTTAAAGAAAGCAGCTCTTTATCAAATTCAGAACTGATACGACGGCTACATTCATCTAAAACATCTACCAGGTTGCTTCTGAGTTGTAAGTCTTAGCCAGTGACATCACTGTTGCCCAGGTGATGCCCGAGGGGGCTACTTTCATGTCCCTGTTACCTTCCCACTGAGATGGTACCTATTTATCTACTTCCATTTCCATGCTTTGTTATTTCTCAAATTGTTGGAACTCAGACCAACCCCTTTCTGTATTCATGACCTTCATCATACATGACCTGTAGGGTCCATTCAATCCTCCACTGGTTGAATGATGAAACTTGTCTTCACTTTCATATGAGACAGTATTAGGGGAGTTGTATATGTTTTGTATAGTTAGATTGAGATAACCATTGATAGTTCCTCCTCACCCAAGGAATCTTTTTTTTTAAGACCATAGGGGAAAAGACTGAAATTCTGGCAAAACAAACTAGAAAATATTAAGCAAAAGCAATGAAACAGATTATATATTATTTTAAATCTAGAAAACAAGACTATATAAGGTATTTGAGAAAACCAAGATTGGCACTCTTCATTATTTTTACCTTTCAAAGCAAATTTTCAGAGCACCATATACACTTGCAGATGAACCCAGGATTCTAGGTGCCAACATACATCCAAAAAATTGGGTTTGGCTTATCCATGAATGCACTTATCCACAGGTCTATGTACAGTAATAGTTTTTTAAGTACACATATTTCCCATCTATACTCACAAGTCCATCCACAAATAAATAAGTCCTCAAGATTTTTAATCAAAATACCATGAAAAACGCAGGTCATCTAATCTATGTCTACACATTTTTCGTGGCTTGCTGATTAAAATTTTGAAGGTAGGCGTATGTGTGGATGGGCTAATTCATGGTAGCATGATTTATTCAAAAGGAAGACCTAATGATCCTGTCTTGTATTGTCTTTTGGTGGATATCAGATATCAGTGATCCCCAGGCCATAGACCAGTTACATAGACCAGTGTTTCTCAACCTTGGCAACTTGAAGATGTCNATAGTAGCAACGAAAATAATTTTATGGTTGGGGGTCACCACAACATGAGGAACTGTATTAAAGGGTCGTGGCATTAGGAAGGTTGAGAACCACTGCTGTAGATGGTAATAATGTTCACTATATCTTGCAAATGGCATTTTGATGCATCATTAGAGTTTTGGGGGAATATGTGAAATAGATCAAGAGCATATTCTGCACACAAGGTCCTGAGGAGTATTGATAGGAAAAGTGTTACCTTCAGGCTTTGTAAATTTCCTTAAAGCATCTGACCATTTCTGAAAATGAAATTTCTCAAATAATCTGATTGAAAAATAGTCCAAACTCAAATGTTTAAGGGTGTCTGTGTGTGTACAAAAGCAGAACTAGTGGTAGATTGAAAAGGCTCTCCCTTTTCAGTTTTAAACAGTATATAGAAAACCAACTTTATTTTCCTAGCCAGCCCTTTGAAAGCCTTGCTGATTAAAGAATTGTTGCATATTATCTTATTAGTGGGATAGAAGAAATTGTTTTAAAATAACCTTTATATCTCTTCCATTCATAGGACCAGAACCAATACCTGTGATATTTTAAAATCTTTTTATCAAAACTTCTTGTGCACGCATGAAAGGCTTTAGGAACTCATGGGGATTTAATTAATACTCATTATATAGCTAGAAGAGGGATATACGTTACAATCTGAACTTAATCCTTGATTTGAACAATATTTCGGCAGTGGTTTAAAAATAATCTATTCATGAATTATAACGTGATACTTCAAACTATACTGGAAATTCCCAGACCTCATATTGCTTTCATGTAATAATTTGTATTGCAGTGTTATGCAGAGATAAATAGCATAGCCTTTATTGTCATTGTACAAAATAAATACAACGAAATTGGTTACATCATTGTAGTCAAATTCTTACAATTTGAAAACAAAAACCTGATAGAATGACTAGAATGTCTTTTTTCTCTCTACTAGGACAAAAAGATAGCACTGTTATGAAAACATGCCTCCAAAATTCAAGCGCCACCTCAATGATGATGATGTTACTGGCTCAGTCAAAAGTGAGAGGGTGAGTGCGTAGGGGATAGTTATTGTGGTATGATTCACCCATAAAGCCCTTCATGGTAGTGGATCTGGGTACTTGAGAGACCGCCTACTGCCAATCACCTCCACT